ATCGCTTGGTTTAACCCAAGCGCTCGCCCGAAGCGCCCAGCGCCTGGGCTCGGGCGAGCGCCTAGGCGGCGACTCCTCATTGAAGCGCGCAGCCTGGAAGTTTAGCGAGACGCTCGGGCCTCGCCTTGCCTCGCCCGAGCGCCTAGGCGAGCGCCCGAGCGCCTTTTTAAATCACTGGTAAAGATGTTGTCTATTATGCATTACTGGAGAGCTGGCAGTATAATTAGGAATAACCAAACTTTGAGCAATCAATATATTCTACCTTATATCACAACAGTGTGGGAAACTTTGATCATTACGATACAAGATTTTTATTTTCCCCTCTCAGACTAGGATTATTATTGACATGATAATTGTTAGATATATGTCCTGCAAAACAAGGACTAAATAAGAAGCATATGAGTTGGATTACTATAGATATGGGTGGAATGCACCAAGATTACACATTTTAAAAGGATATTCTTGCATTGTCAAGAGTTTTCAACAATAGAGAATGAAATAACAGAGAGTGCAAAAGAAAAACAGACCGCTTGGGCATCTCTCAGTTTCTGATTGCCACATTTTTGTTGTTTTGAGTGGTCAAGTTCAGGTCTGGTATCTTGTGTCAATGGAGATGGTACATAGGATTTCTATGACAATGTAGTTTGATGTCACATGCTGGGGCTGTTAATTAAATTATCCTATTGCATGTACCGTTTACATTTTAATTGATTTATGACTATAATGGTTGGGTGTTCAAACTTCTGCTTTTATAATATCATAAATGCTAGTCAAATGTGGTTGAAATATATTTTGCTTATGATGCTTTCTCAGGTTTTGGCTGTCAAGAAGATAGAGACATTAAATTTATCTGGACGTTGTTCTCATGACTTCATGGAAATAGTGTCTGACATTTTCAAGCTGCACCATCCAAACATCACTGAACTTTTGGGCTATTGCTCAGAGCCCGATTACCAATTTTTAATCTATGAATTCCAACAGAATGGTTCTCTACATGGATTTTTACATTTATCGGATGATTATAGCAGACCATTGACTTGGGAAACTCGAGTAAGGATTGCTCTTGGGACAGCACGTGCTGTAGAGTAAGTAGATAGCAATTACAAGCCATGTAAAGAACCATTCAGTTACAAATTATTTAATTGAAATGCCTGATGGTCATAGTGAGCATGTTTTTCTCCCTGTATATCTAATTTACATTCGTCTTCTCTTAATTTTGATCAAATATATTCATTGTCAATTCAGGCTTCAGGACTTCTTGGATGGTACATGCAAGATCAACAATTTTAGTCGATCATTTTTAATATTTCCAGAAGTGGTGGAACAAAAACTGCTAATTTTTTCTTTGCAGCATAAATTTTCATGAAAATTGTTTACATGACAATATTTGGACATTTTTTTTAGGACTCGTGGTATTTATAGCTATACTGGTATTATGCTACTGCATTATATTCTTATTGTTCATTTTTGCAAACTATCTAATATATCTAAGCAAGGTCAAACTTGGGATGCTAAGAGTCAGATAGTTGTCAATAAAATTGTACAGGTCTGCAATTGGAAACATACTTAGAAGAATTGAGAGTGTGCTTCTCTGCAAATGCTGGTCTAATTGAAAGTTATATATGATTATTAGGACTGAGCATTCCCACAATATTAAAGTTCTACTGTATTCTATAACAAACAAAAAGGAGGACGTAAATGGAATAGCGATGATTTGCTTCCAATTAGCATTCTCAGTCACACCCTGTGTTAAAACCATCAATCTAGGAAGCCCTGTAATTTATTTACAGAATAGGACTCTCACGGAATGTCCTACTTTTGTAGTTTTGTGATCTTTGTCTTCAAATGATTTAATCATCCAGTTGCATGTTATGGTTATCCTGTGCATTCTAAGTTTTGTATAGACATCTTCAGGTCTTTTATATGATAATTCATGATAACCTTTCCAAAGACAGGAAATACCTATCGTGGTTAGTTGTTAAATAAAGTATATTCAGCTATAACAATTGAATTAAGTGCCAAAATTACAACTTGATCAATTTTCATCTTTCTTAATCTCCTAATGATTTTATCAGATGTCTATTACTAGTTAATATATCTGTTGCCATGTTGTAAATATCTTCCTAATTTCATCTGACAATCACTTTATATTTATCCAGGTACTTGCATGAGGTCCACTCCCCATCAGTGATCCACAAAAACATAAAGTCTTCAAACATATTGCTTGATGCGGAGCTAAACCCACACTTGGCTGACTGTGGTCTAGCACCCTTCTTTGAGGTTTCAACGAAAGTTCATTTGCACCTTGTTATGGAATCATTTATGACATTGAAAACCATAAATCTGAGTCACTGAGTTCTAGTTCTGTCTTTTTGCAACAGGATACAAATGAGAACTTGGGTCCTGGATACAATGCTCCTGAATGCACAAAACCTTCTGCCTATACAAGGAAGAGTGATGTCTATAGCTTTGGAGTGATCATGCTAGAGTTGTTGACTGGCCGTAAGCCCTTTGATAGGTAATTGAAGATGCTGGCACTCTAAGACTAGTCATTAAGATCTTGTCCTTTTCCCTCGGTGTTTAGCAGATACAATTCAGTTAAGATAGTTCAGCATTCTTTCCGGTGCATGTAGTGTGTTATCTAAATAGAGGCAATACAGCCAATGCATCCTGGTCTTGATATTTATGGAAGCATATAGTAATATGGTGACATCGGCCATTTTCTCAGGTCCAGATACCTAACGTTATTAAATTCCTGGGCACACATAAATGGCCATCTAATGGGCCATGATGTTTATTAAATAAGATCTATTGGTTTTCTACTAGTGTGCAAACTTCCCAAAATGATCTGTTGTGACCCAACACTTTTGTGGATACTGTTATCTCGAGGACCTACTGCTTGCAGTTTTACCTTTGTTTCATTGTCTAATTTTTTTTCTTCTATTTTTAATAATTTACAGTTCTAAGCCAAGAATAGAGCAGTCATTAGTTCGCTGGGTAGCACCACAACTTCATGACATTGACACATTGGAACGGATGGCAGACCCTGCCCTCCATGGACTCTACCCGCCAAAGTCATTATCTCGATTTGCTGACATTGTCGCCCTATGTATCCAGGTAACATGCTTTATGAACTTCTTCTCGTACGCCTTTCTATGTGACTGCTCTGTTTGAGAGTCTTGACAAGTGTGAGACTGTTTCACTATACATTTTAAGCACCATATGCATCATATGGTGCAGTTGACTGAACCTTTCTCTTAGTGAGAGGTCGTCATATAATAATTTATCAAAGGTGTGATATTTAGAGCAAGGTTCACCATGCCGTGGCATACCACTCGGTATGAATGGTACATACTAGTCCGATATGGAACTGGTACGGGTGGTACATCGGTATGCCTCATGTATCGTGTGTTGGTATGCTCAGTACGGCTTGGTACATACCGTACCGATAATTGACCGGTATACCGGTACGGATTGATAAGACGAACCATGATTTAGAGTATTGTGTGCTTGTAAATTATAATTTTATCCACGGTAACTTATTTCTATGTTTCTTTTGATTAATTCAGCTAGAGCCTGAGTTCCGGCCCGCCATGTCAGAAGTGGTCCAGGCACTAGTTCATTGCGTTCATTGCACTAGCATCAACAAAAGGATTGGTGGGGATCTAGGCGCCTCTCGTAGAAGTGATGATTCTGACTCTGGATATTATTGAGCAAAACTTCGAACTCTATTGAACGCCTGTGTATCTAACTAAAGGCATCACAGTCAACTTGTCATGCTGCTGATTGATATAACAGGTCCTCTGAGTAAATATCAATGAACATTATTTCGGTTTTCGTAAGGAATAACTTCTGTAATCGTTGTGGATTTTTGAGCCATGAGCTGTATGTAATATATCCATCTAAAATCTTGTGACAACTCTTGTTTCTATTGAGAATCGTGTTTCTTGTGAGTGACACTGGAATTCAGCTTTGAAATGCAATCTCTATTTCTTTAATAAGAGAAAAATGTTACCGAAGGGGAGACATAATGGTGAAATTTTGACGTTTTTAAGTCATCGGTTACCATATGCATTGAATTTATGTCTATCTAAAGATTAAAATCAGTAAAAGTATATATTATTAAAAAAACATATTTAGGACTTTCTAAGTTTTCTTGAAATTTTTAAAGGAAAAAAAAGTGAGTTGAGTTATATTGTTTTCTAACAATGTTTTTGAATAAAGAAGTGTAACAAAAAAATCTTCTTTGATAATACAAAAAAAACAAAAAATGGTTTTTGGCTCAAAAAAAAATGTTAAGAGTTAAAACAAAAAAGGTGTAACACAAATCTTAAAAAAAAAACCTTCTTTGATAATATTTAAATGGTTTTTGGTTCAAAGTGATTCTAAATTCATCCTAAATTATGTACAATAAAAAAATCTACACAAATTCAATCCTTTAAGTGATGAAATTTATAAAAAGTCCTCGTTTTAAATTGGGTTATACTATTTTTAAACTATATAACTCCTCCATTCAAAAACTCAAATCTCCAAGAAAAAAATTGCTTTTGAACTTTAATAATATCCCAAAGGGGTTAAACATCAAATGTCACTCACAAGAAACACTTGATTCTTGATAGAAACAAGAAGAATTGTCACAAGATTTTAGATGGATATATTTATTAAAGAATTGCATTCCAATCAATCATATCTCATCAACAACTGTTTTTCATCTACTGTAATTTGTAAATAAAACAACTTTAGGTGCATAAAGATTGTATAAAATATTACAAAAAGACATATAAATATCTCTAAATTAATATTTATATTATCCTTTAATATATATACATAGTCTTCAATTTTATATCGACTATATTCCAACTACTGATTGATGCTTACACCAACTTATCTCCAAAGTAGGCGGTGGTTAGGACTTGGGAGTGAGAAGATCCTAAGTTGCAATTCGCTGTCATGTCATGTCATGTCATGCCACATTAGTTCCAAAGTATTATGTATGCACCCAAGCCATGATGTCGCTAAGCGCCACATTACTCGGTCATCTCTCTGTTCCAGCGGCGGCCTCCTAAACGCCGATCCGATCCGCTCCCTGTGGCGGCCGAGAACGGCCGGTGATGGTGGCCAACGGCGGGGAGTGTTGATGACGTCTGCCTGCTGCTCGATTCCAGGTAAGAAGCCAGCCAGGCCACCCTCCTCCTCCCTTGTTCTACCGCCGACCAAGATCATCGATCCACTTCTCTCGCTTGCCTCCTCTTCTTCTTAAACCCCGTCCTCAATCTGAGGAAGAACACCGATTTCCACAAGTAGCTCGTGCTTTTGTACGCATCTTTTTCCATTTTCGTTTCTTCCTCCTGATGATGCTGGGATTTCTCTTCTTCTGTGATGTTGTGAAGTGATGGGTAGAGGTCTGTTGCCAAATTCTATCCATGTGTGCTGGATAACATGGCTCGGAGAATCTTAATTCATAACATAGCTTCATAAGCTTAACCTTGTGCTGAACCCTAAAGTTCAGCCCATTTGATGTAACCTTCAGATCGTTTTGTTGACTTGAGACACTCGATGCTTTCCCACAAGATGTAATGCCACATTCGTGTGTGTTACTTGGGAGATGAAACTTTCAACTCAAGTATCCTCTTCTATGGCTGATCAAGCTTGATGTTAATCTGTTGTTTCATGTCCAAATGCTATCGATGCTAATTCTCATGAAGGTGATCATCAGAATGGTAGATGCCGAATCTTGGCTTTAGTTTTTCTCTTTTATCTCCCGGTACAATGCACATATGTTTCTGTGTTGACGGTGATGCTTTACGCTGAGAAATCACCTCATAAGTAGAAATTGTTTACCCTGAAGTTTCTATAGTTTATTCTTATTATATGTTCGAGTCTTTTTGCTTATCTTTTGCTGCATCTTTGATGTTCGTCAGGTCATGCAAGGCAATCGTAGCTCACACAGGTGCGTAGCAAAAAGGGGCAAAGCATGGCATTGCAATGTATCCATAGGTAAGATGGCATTTTGGTGCATCATTATCTATTTAGTTGATGCAATGTAACTTGTGTTTGGCAATTTCTACGCTATCTAAATGTATGTATTTCTGGATGGAACCCGTAACAAAGTCGTGTGATTTCTTGTGCAACAATCTAACCACATGAGAAAATGCAGGTACACCACTGCATGTTGGGCAATGAGTGCATTTACCTTTTGTATGATCGCTCCATTCATCTCAAGATTCGCAAAAACAATTGCCATCCTGCATTAGCAAATGCACACATTAGCTAATGCAATGTACGATCAACAAATGCAGGTTGTCAGACACCCTCATGTTCTCTTCTCCTGGTGAGTTGTCAAAATTTATGGAAAATATACTTTCGGTTTACTTCCCTTTTGTATTTGTGTTCTTGCTATTTACTTTAATAATTTGACATATATTAAAATCCCATTATTAATTGAGTATCATATTTGGAGACCTCAATAGTTGCCTCTTGGTTGCATTAGTTGTATCTCCTCATGGTTTCATGCAAATTAGTGAAGCATAAGTCTTGAATATGAAACTAATTATATTTATTAGAAAAAAAATGTTTCTCCAATTAATTTGGACACCATGGGCTTCAGAAGATCTTGAAGACATTTTTATTACACCAAGATGTTTTGTTTTTGTTGTCATTATGATAAAAAGATATGGTTATTTAGATGTGGCCGTTGAATTTGATTATGACAGGTATTAGGTGCATCAAACTCTTTCGGTGAACATGCTCCTTTGATTTCTACTGTTTTGTTGATTGCTTCTTTGTAAATCAATACTTTGGCCTCGTAGAGACAATAGCTAAGTTAGCTTCAGCAGATAGGGTTCTATCTTTCTGAGAACGTAGTTTTTATTTTTCCTGAGGATTTCTATTTCTAGAACTAGCATTATTAGAATATATATATATATATATATATAGGAAGTATATTTGCTCCAAAAAGAAAAATAGGAATTAAGGAACTGTGTCTCCAGCAAGAAATTTCTGTGGATGGCTTCCATCATGACAGATCCAACCTAGGAAAAAAATCTGTTGTAAAAGAGGGAAGGGACAAGAATGGTTGCTGAACAATGAAATGCCTGGAGAAATCTGGCATGGTTTTCCTCCTGACACTAGTGCACACTGTATAACAAAGGGCTTAATTTTTGTGGGTAACATCCATAGCAAGATAAGATATGGTTCTTGTTACTGAGCTTTGTCTAGTAGCTCCCAAGAAGTTTAAAGCTATAAATTGTGAAAGCAAGTTGAAACAGTAACATCAGGTTTTTCCTTATCTTTCTTGAATTTCATCTTTAAGAAACCAACGAGTTTTAACGAGCATAGCATAACCCTTTTTCAGAATATTAAGCATGCCTTGAGTGGTACCTAATATGTTTGCACATGCTAAAGATAGTTCATTTATGTACTTGTCTTGATTTGCTCGATCAGACTAGGAAGAAAGGTTCCCCTTCTAACTTGGCTGGTCATATTGATGCTAACGTTGTAGAGTTGAGTATTTTTTGATGTGGTAGAACAACAATTAAACCTTTATTACTTTTACATATTAACATGTTATGATGCACACTCTTGCTACAAACATGTTATATTAGGATGGTTTGATGAGATTTGTTAAATAACACCACTGTTAAACTATATCAAATATATATATATATATATATATATATATATACATATACATATACATATATATATATATATACATATACATATACATATATATATACATATACATATACATATATATATACATATACATATATATATATATACATATACATATACATATATATATATACATATACATATACATAATGTCTTTCTTCTGGTTTGTTAACTACATTATATAGATAATAACATTTCTTCATATGCACATTAGTTCTATATCTGCACAACCTCACATGCAAAACATAATTTGGGTATGCACATGCATGTGCATGTTAAAATTCTTGCCTATGTCTTTGTGGTGACTCTGCTGATCTTGGATCAATCATTCTTGGAATATGACAATTGCTAGTTTCATTGCTTCACCTGCATATGAATTCAAGCAGAGAAAATGGCCTTACATCATAGAAGGATATGCTTTTTTTTTTTCCCTCTTTTTACAAAGAATAAATGGTGAAGACTGGATCTGATCCCAAGACTTTATTATCAATAGTCCAGGCTTTATCAGCTAGGCTAGGTGAGATATCTTGGAAGTTCATCAGATGATGTTTTGAACCCTCAATCTTTTAATAAGTGGTCTAGTATAAAGCTAGGGTAAGTGATATCTTTGAAATTGGCTTGATGATGTTTTGAATATTGAATCTTATGGTAAGTGATCTGGTATTCCATTACCGGACCAATATTTTAGATGGTGCAAGGGATATAGTTGCTCACGTATAAGCTTCCTCAGTGCCCATGACAACTCCTGCACGCTGGGCTGTCATTTTGCACAGCGTGCTACATTGAATTTGTGAAGAACAAAATCACATTCAAGCAGTGAAAGTAATTATCCCTAATATCAAGTTGATTACTCAGTAATGATTCTTCCCATAAATTTGAATATTAGCTTTTGTCATAGAGCACACATAAAGCTACATGGAAGTGCTTGTTTAGTAAAACAAATACATGTGAGTACGATATCGTAGATTACATTGTGTTTGAATCAGTATTTGGTTTTAACTTTCTATATTTTTGGTCCCATGTTCTATTACCGATACATTTAAAGCATTTTTTTCTCTTAGTCTCATGAAGGAGCAGTCCCCTGTGCCAAACAAGTGACCTATGAAAATTGGTGGTCTCAGACCAAGTTGGTGTCTCACAAAAAAAAAGGGAGCTGCAGATGGCAGCTGGGGATGTCGGTGGCCCTTTGTAGATTTAGCATTGGCAGGTAACCAACAACTACCAGACTTTATGAATTACAACTTGTGCAATGCCTAAGATGCTATAGACCATAACTATACATCAAACACATTGTTTTTTGTTCAAACAATGGGATGTTATTCCTAGTCCTCCACAAGTATCAGAATTAATACTGGACTGACAAGTCAGCAACTGTGTCTTCTTCTAGTGACAGATTCTCTCTTCCATAATTAGTTGCAAGTAATTACTAAAGACATTCCTAGTTATTATTTGACAATCCATAGCTTCTCCAAATTGCTAGGCTGCTCAGACCTAATCTCTTTCCAGCTTTACTAAAGTTAGACTGTGTGTTAATCATTGATATGATAATGAAATAGTCATCTGATGTAAATGAAAACGTTATTAATTTTGTGCAAAGAGTTGGCATGGATTTTTCCAATCATGATAATCTTCTCTTCTTGCAACTTTAATGTGTGTGATGGCAGATATAAGAGATTAGCTACGCTGAAGACCTGTGTGTGTTGTGTGTGTGTGTTGGCAGCTACGTTGGTGGGTTCCACAGGATGAGTGGCGCAAGGAGACGCCAGGTCAGATTCGTCGAGAAATGGCGTCCAGTTTTGCTCCCTCCGTCACGTGAGCCGTCGATTAAGTATTGGACGTCTGTCCGGTGGTTCCGTTGGAAGTTTGCCTTTCTTGCCGTCGACGCCGTCACCGAGGCGGTCGCGTTACCTCCGCCCGGCGTTCCGCAAGTTGCCGCATTCTGCCACGCGTCGTCGTCCCTAGCATTCGGTATCCTCACCTCGCCATTAAACGTTGCGTCGCCTAGCTGTCCAACCGGTGGTGGCTTTTCCTTTCTCTTCGCTGATGCCGTCACCGGCAGGGTGACGTTACCTCCGGGTGACGTTATGGAATGTGACGCCTTTTGCCACGCGTCGCCTCCGCGTCCTCCGGTACGCTCACTTCAGAGTTAACGTTGCATCGCCCCGCTGGCGGAGCGGAGGTTTTGGCGGGAGGGGGTTTCTGTCGCCCTTTATTTGAGCCATGTCTCCCGTCCCCGTCGCCGTACCCAGGAAGTAACCCACGATACTTCCTATCGTGGGTCCCAGCGAATGTCCATTGGCTGGTCGATTCCCGGGTGCGCGGGAGCCCGTGCCCCTTCGACCGCCTCGAAAGATATTTTTCGCGCCCTCACGTGCCAGCTGTCACTTTTCACGTTACCCCCTTCCCGTTTGCTCTTCTTCTGTATCCCTCTCCCTTCCCCTCCTGTGGGTCCCGTCGTTTTGCCCCCCGGAAAAAGTAAAATCGGCAAAAAGACTGATAAATAACTTTTCCTTTCTTCGGGAATGGAATAAATGAAGGCGTTGTAAGCTGCAGAACCCCCAAACGCGCGGGTCATGCGGCCCAAACTCACGCCAAATCCCAACCAAATGAAACCTCCTCCAACACCCTTCCGAGCGGATAAAAATATAATAAAAGCGACGCTCGCCGATGGTTGGCGCGTGCCCCCGCGGCCGCCATCTCCACCGTCCGTGACAGGCGAGCCGGTCACAGCGCTGGTCAGTCCGATGGGACCCGTCTCGGCCGCTCGATCGCCCTCTTGGGGAACCGACGGCCGATATGCTGCCCTGTTCGCCCCCGGGCAGATCTCCTCGCCTTTAAGAGGCGGTGCACCCCTTACCCTTCCTCCTCGCCAAGCCGAAGGGTCGTCTGTTGCCCTCACCGCGACCTTCGCCCCATCTCCCTTTTTCCTCCCTCCTCTCCCTGCCCCCTCCGCGGCTGCCTCCGGCCGGCCTCCCTCCGCCCCTTGGCCGCCTCCCCACCCCTCCCAGTCTCCACCTCCGATGGTCCACATCGGCCGGGAAGCACCGGAACGGAGAGAGCTCGCTGGATCGCGGCCGATCTGAGGCCGTTACCCGCCGTTGATGGCGTCGGCGCTCCTCGCCAGTAGTAATGAGCCGTGCTGGGGAGAACCAAAGGTTTATATGAGGAAGAACCCCATTTCTAACCCTAACCCTAGGCCCTGCCCTAACCTGTGCACCGTCGACTATGCCGGCGATCGCACCGCGCGATTCCGAACCATGGAGCAGGAGGAGGCGCCGCCGGTAGCCACCGCCGTTGTGTCTGACGATTCCTCTTCCTTCAACCGGAGACCCGCTGACCTCAACCACCGGAGGGATCCTGCCGCTGGTGGCAGCGGGAGCTACGTGACCTTCAACATCTCAGCCTACTCCAAGACGGAGCTGAGAGAGCTGAAGCGGCGGCTTGTCTCGGAGCTTGACCAGGTGCGGAGTCTCATGATCCGGATCCAGTCGAGGGAGATCCAGTCCTCCACTCGATCCGCCGGATTTGGTGCGTCGGGGATCTACCCCGGTGGTGGCCGAGAGGTCACGTCCTCCGCCGGCCTACCACCTCTTGATCCCTGGGCTTCGAGGCCCTCAGGTACCTTCTCCGCCAAGACAAACAAAGAGTCGGAGTCCGATAAGCTCCTCGCGGCCATGATGAAGAAGTGCGGCCAGATTCTTTCCAAATTGATGAAGCACAAGAAGAGCATTTGGTTTAACACCCCCGTGGACGTCATCGGCATGGGTCTCCACGACTACTTCCAGATCATCAAGACGCCGATGGACCTGGGCACGGTGAAGAAGAATCTCCACAAGGGCCTCTACCCGTCGCCGGCAGAATTTGCTTCAGACGTACGATTGACCTTCAACAATGCCTTGCTCTACAACCCTAAGGGCCACGAGGTGCACAAGCTTGCTGAACAGTTCCTCCGTCATTTCGAAGGGCTGTTCGGGCCAGCCTTCCATAAGTATGAGAAGCAGGAGGAGCAGTGCAGGGTTTCTACGGAGGCGGCACCGAGTCCTGGTCCGCTTTTGCCAATCCCAGCTTCTCCTCCAGTTCAAAGCCCGGCTCCGTTTCCGGTGGCACCCCAGGAGCAGCCAAGGCAGCAGTATCCAAATGTTGCGAGGGCGACATTGGTGAAGCAACCGAAGCCCAAGGCTAAAGATCCGAACAAGCGGCCGATGAGCATGGAGGAGAAGCAGAAGCTTAGCGAGGGGCTGCAGAACCTTCCGCCGGAGAAGATGTCTCACGTCTTGCACATCGTTCGGAAGGGGAACGTGAGCACAACGCAGAACGGGGACGAGATCGAGCTGGACATCGACACCATGGACACGGAGACGCTTTGGGCGCTCGATCGGTTCCTGTGCAACTGCAAGAAGATGATGAGCAAGATGAAGAGGCAGGAGGCGATCGCCAACGGGCTGCTGCTACATGCTGGCCATTCCGCCGCAGTTGCCGACGCCCAACTTCCAGCTGAAGGCGGTGGCGAGATGGTAATGGCTAGGATCCTCTCTCTCTTGGTCTCTGCTCGATGGATGAAGCCTCGGAGTACTAACCTGGTCATGCTATTGGGCAGTCTCCGGTGCTGGTGGATGCGTCAGAAGTAGTTGCAGCGAAAAAGAGCAAGAAAGGAGACACCGCCGAGGAGGATGTCGACATTGGTGACGAATTACCGATCACGAACTACCCACCGGTGGAAATCCAGAAGGACACCGGTTACGCCACCTCCTCCAGTAGCTCCGACAGCGATTCCTCTTCGTCGAGTGGTATGCCGCAGCCCCGCTTCTCCTTGGTATGCTGCAGCTGCTGCTGCTGATTTCCTTATGAGTAATCACATCTGTTCGGTGTAGGTTCCGACTCAGGGAGCTCATCAGAGGGCGATTCGGATGAGGAGGAAAATGAGGCGCGCTCACCTGCCGCCGGAGTAAGATCTCAGAGAGACTAACGACATGTCTGCATAAGCTTTTTATTTGTTGTTCTTCCTTAATTCCTCTTCAGGTGTGACCTTGGTAGGAGTTGATGATATTAGATTAGATTGGTAGCACAGGTGTAGCATATGTAAAAAGAGAAACAGGAAGTGTTTTAAAAGTGTAGGTGATGCCTTGAATTGAAGGGTGAGGGGTGGGGGGACTCCCTCAGCCAAGTTGTCTTCTTAGCCTTTTGTCTTGTAAATTTTGGCTGCATTGGGTCGGAGAGTTTTCGGAGAAGTCAACATGTTGCAATTCTTTGGACCATTAAATTCCTAAGGAATTAGATGATGCAGCAGCAGCAGCAGCAGCAGCAACACTGGTTGGGCTTCTCCTAAGCATCTGGCCATATCTCCAATCGTCAGAATAATCATCATTCATAGTATCATTCTCAGTTGTTACACGCGTTAAGTCTTTGTCGACTGCAGCTCCAATTCAATAACCTCTGTACCATCGGACACTAAGCTGGATTTATTTATTAATACCCAGCGTTACACCACTGTTTCGTGTAAATCAAGGGATGTATACCACAGGCATCATCATCATCATCATGCTGTATCATTTGTATCACGTTACTCTGACATAAATCTGGTTGGTTGGTTGGTTTAATTAAAGTCGAAATCTATGCTTCGTGTGATGCCCCAAAGGATCTGCATAAAAAATTATAAAACTCCAGTAACTTTTGAGTGAGCAAACTACTAAAGTCTAAACCCATAGCAATTTGATGAGACAAACTTACACGATGAGCTTCGAAGACAGATCCAATGATCATCAAGCACTCAATCATAGCAGGGGCTAACGCATCTTGGCTGCTTCATATTGCAATCATTCACAGGAGACACTGTGTTCATCCATAACACAACTTTGTCATCTGGTTAACATCATCGCCAATAACAAAGTCGGAAATGTTCTAACTATTTTGGATACCAATTTAGTGAAAAAAACAGAAGCATTTAATGGCAGCTAAATCTTCAGTATTAACACTACTAGATTGGCCTGAGCAATATTATTAGCTACACAAACATAAATTAAAGAGTGAGAAGGGGTTGAGGCCCCTCGGGGCTGGGTGTGCCAGGATTACAACAGGTGGTCAGTGCCATACAGGTAAAAGAAATCTAAAATTTTATATAAAAGACAGTTCACTATTTCCTAGTTTTACCAAAAGAGATTCAGATCAAACCTCTGAATCATTTTGAAATTATTTAGGGCAAAGGAAAATGAAATCATTTTGAGCACAAGGATAAAGTAAGGAAAATTTCAATGGCAATTAGTAAAGCAGGTCAACACAAGTATTTAGGAATTATAACTCTCTTTTTATCATCATCATTGTATTGTCCTCAGTGCTGTCATTATGTTAATATGAGGTATATACTTGTCAATCGATGGATTAAGTCATTTGTTTATATCATAGGATATAAGTAATCGAACAGAATGCAAGTCCCACTTCAAATTGATGTTACTGAAGGAAGCCAGGCTTATGCTAATTCTTATAGAATGCAGAGTATGAATGAGAAATTTGAGAAAAATGCATAATGAAGCTGATAACATGCAGTGATACATCATAATTTTAAGAAAACTGTAAAAAAACACCAGCTAGCGTTGGCATTGGCTTGAACCAAAACAAGGGCACCGTACTGAGCAGTTTTAATCATCTTCAAATTGCTTGCGACATATATGACAATTATAAAACTCTTTTAAGTTCAAATTTGCATGTAGGATATATCTTTTATTAAAGGAACTTTCTCAAAATTAACGACTAGAGCTTGAAGCCACATACCTTCACCACATGACTGCTCTGCCCAAGCAACCATATGTTTCTTCTAGGCAACTTTCTCCAAAGCCTGCAGATCAACTTTTATGTGATCGAGCAAGATTGCACAATGTTCATCAGTGCATGTTTCAAGAATCTTCTGAACCACATAGATGGAAATGAATCCTTCATCATTACCCAGAAAGAACACATGTCAATGATAATAAACATCAACACCATGACAAAGACAAACAACAGTGAACAAACAAATTCCCAATGTGCTCTATTCTCAAGCTGCATTGAATTATGTAAAGCATCATTTCCACAAGAACCAAGAAATTCTAGGAGTGAGAATTGTTCAACTAATTTAATTAATGGAAATGAATTACAAACTCAATCGGAGGGTTCGTTAACGGTTTTCGCTCAGTAATAAAAAAATCGAGTAAAGACCAGGATAGCAACATATAACTGAGCATTTTCTATGGTTTACTATAAGCATTTTCTACCTGACATATGGAGAACATATAACTGAATCTTTTTTCATAGATACTATTGACTGTAGTGTTCATGGATTGTTAAAACCAAGTAAAGACCAGGATAGCAACATATCAGCTAGCAGTTCCATCATGTGTGGGCCAAAAGAAGACAAAGCCATCTGGTACAAGGCACACCAAGGATTGCACTAAATAGTACATATTTACCTATATAATGAACACAGTGCAGATATATGACATCATATACATTCACATTGGATTAGCTAATGTTTTCTGAAGTAAGAACAAAGGTGCAGGTGTGGCTACAAGCATGGAAGCCACATTTTTTTGAACCTTCAATAAGAAAATGCTTGGGTTCAAAGCAAGATATTTTTTTTTAAGAAACATCGGAATTACCTACAGCACCATGGAAACAAGCTTCCTGCTACTAGGGACGAGCATTACTATGTTATACTGCTACTCCATTTAGAACTCTAACATGCATCAAGTAGAATGAAAAAGAAAAGGCCAAACTAGGAGATTTTCAAGTTTTGGCACAGTACTAGTTCTTTATCCGCAATTCTGAAGAATTTATAAACAGAAACAGCTCTCGACCTTCAGGAAAAAATTCATATTTAATCCCTAAAAAATGTCCAGATATCATTATCCTACTGCCATCTTGTTTAATATTTCAGATATGAGCAAGCAACAGATTAGTAAACGCCAAGACCATATATTAGTCAAAACTTACAACAAATAAATATCTACTTGAACTTTTGAATCTTTTATATGAGCAATACTTGCTTTCAAAAGACACGAACATTATATCTTTCTTAATACTTCTACAAAAGGATCATAACATAAGTTTATTTCCATTTCAATTCATAAACTTGTTAATATAGAATGCTTAGGATAATTTTTCAAAGCAACTCATATTTGAATGTCTTTTCATAAATAAAAGCATAATACCATTAAGGTGACATATCAGAGTATAAGTCATATTTGCACCTTTATATGAATACTACCATTAACTATCCATAAATATATATAATTATAGCTATAAGGATGCATATTCAGATTAGAAAAACATCAATATAACCAAAGGTCCATGTAAGAACAGAAAGCCATAATCACAAGCCCCAAAATCAAATAGCATAATCAAATATCACACTAAACTTGTAAGATCAAAATTAATCTCTAATCCTATACACTTTTCTGATTAGCAGGAAAACTTGATAATCCAAAAACATGTGAATTTCTTGGTGCCAAAACGAACCTTCAGTAAACCTTTTTTTTTTCCTTCTCTATTTCTTTCCTCTCTTATTTCTTTTTCATTTCTTCTTTCTTCTGCAGCCTCTTGCAACTATTTCCTTGATGAAGTGATCCCTTTCTTTTGTATTACCATACTGCAGTCACTTCTCACTTCTCAGTAACATTTGAAGCAAATTCGTGCTGGCTCATCTGTAAAGATTGCCTAAATAATTTGCTAATGATTTGGCTTCTTTTTGTAGGTTTCCCTTTAAATTATGCTGAAGGCAATGTTATTATGCTAATGTGACTGTAGGTAGAAAACAACATCAACTTGGAAAAATTTGCAAAGTAGTATACATTAATCAAATTATAGATACGAGTCACAACAAAAATAAGTTATCTTTGTATATACTACATAGTACTCTACTTCCTCGAGAGAAAGCTACACAAACCCAAGATAAAACTATATATTAGCATTCAAATCAAAAGTATGTTTTTGACATCACTTTAGTTGGATGTGCAGTTATTATGCATAAAAATGAGGAAATAAGAAAACCTGGAAAAAAATGTTGAAACGAGATCGTCAACCAAACAGGTGAATTTGAGGAGTGAGCCCATTTCACCACAAAAAGGTTCCAAGATAAAAAGATATCCTCTCCCACTATTGGATATGCAAAACAATGCATAACATATAAATCTTAATATCAGGTGGTACCATCCCAGAAGCATGAGGATAGTGAGTGTTCCTGTACCACTTTACAAAGACTTAGTTGAACCCCAAACTCTAAGTCGTGTAGCACCCAAATAATACCAACTTGCAACCTAAGAATTTTTTTGCACTGAAATATAATCTGATTGTAACTTAAAAGACATCGAGATAATAAAATATAAATAACTAAGAATTTTTTTGCACTGAAATATAATCTGATTGTTTCTACACTGAATTTTTTTGCACTGAATTTTTTTGTCCATAGGCCAGAAGCTGATTGTTTCTACATGATAAATTTAGAACATAAAGATATCTTGAAGATTCATGATAGTAAGAATGTTTCTGTCTATCAGAATGAAATCCAGCTGATATCTGCCACCTCCTCTTCTCCCTACTTTTGTCACCGCCACCACTCCTACCAGAACACGTCACCTCCTACTAGTACCAATACACAACCCCTTCACCCTCCTACCAGTGTGCATCAGCCTCCTAATGAGTGTTGGGTTACCACTCTGTTTTGGTCTGACCATCAGTTGCTATCAATACCAGACCAAAATTTCATGCATATAACTTTTGTAACCAACTGAATTCAAGTTATAAAAACATAAACAATCAACTTCCTAGTGAAAAAGAAAAATAATAATCTACTCAAACAAAGTCAAACAGTGAACCAGCTGATTAATAAGATATATGTAGGTTAAGAACAAATAAAGTATTATTAGAATCTGCTTCAACTAAAAATCCACTGAACTGATGTTAAAACAAAACATAACTTCTGCAAATATATGTAGGATAGAAGTACTAGGCAACTGCTAATAGATAAAAGGTAAAAGCTACTAAAAGCAATAAAAGGTCCTTCCTTAGGCATATGACTAGTTACAGTGTCAAATTTCTTCAGAACAAAGACAACTATCAGACATAATAAGTACATTAACTGGCATTTTAAATCTTTCCGACAAATACAGTAGCAAGCAACCAACATCTTTTATAACTTGAAGCATTTTGACTGAATCAATCAAGTTTTATAACTCCTTTTTGCCCAGACAGGTCTGTAGCAACTGGTATTTACTGGTCGTGAACCGATACATGGCCTGACCCATTTCGAGCTGACTGGTCCATACAAAAAAAATTTCATGAGGCCCGCGACACAATCTCTAACTGCAAGACGCACAAAGCCCATTGCCTTCCACCGCTGCCCACCACACACTGCCGATGGGTATGTTTCCTCCTCTTCTCCTCCACCTCCTCCTCCTCCTCTTCTTCCTTCCTTTTCATCCTCATCTTCCCCATTGCTTCCTATTCTACCTTCCTCTTCCTCTTTCTTCCTCCTCTTCTGCCTTTCTCCTCTTCCTTTTTCTTCTCCCTTCCTCCTCTCCTTTTACTGCCTCCTCTTCTTCCTTTCTCCCTTTTTTCCTTCCTCTTTCCCCTCTTCCTCCACTGTTTCCTCTTCTCCTTCTTCTTCCTCTTTGGTACATACCGGTGTACCATGTGTCAGTACACTGGTACTAGTCGACATGTATTAGTCCAGTTAAATACTGGTATAGTACCCCAATACAAAATTGCAATCTTTGATTATAGCATCACCAAAAATTGAACTATTATAATTGTAAACCATCAGTGGCCAAAGACTTTATCCAAGCAAACAACCAAAAAAAAAGTTGATTCAAACACTTCTAATTGAAATGTGAAGTCCCATTCAAAGGATCGCAATTACTTCCTGTTTAACAAAACAAACATCCCTAAAGTCCCGATCTTGCTTTCAAGAAAGTGTGCTTTCTTTACTCATCATACTGACCATTAGCACTATAACAAACGTTTTATGAAGCTCCTTGTATATCAATTTGTAGGAGGAAATGAAGTGGCAAAATAAAGGTAATTTCGCCAGCTTCGATCTGTATGCCGTAAGGGTAAAGTTTTGTCATGACTAAGACAAGAATGAAATAATAATAGTGTGAATAATCTTCTTATCAATACGACAAACTGAAGTAAATCCTTTTTTCTCGTTCTTTAGCTGGAAAATGTGGAACATATAAAATGTCCACGGATTCCAAGCATCAGAAGATCAATTATATGATCCATAAAAAATAAATCAGCAATTAGCATCTACGACACGACATGATAAAGAAGCAACCACACTTACTAACAAAGCAAGGATGACAAAAGCAGCTTGTCCAAGAAAAAGTGCACCCGCACTAGTAGGGACTGCAGACAAAGAAAATAAGTTCCAACTCTCAGAATCCACTTAAGCTGTTGCCTTTGACAGTGAATATAATGCTAAGCTGGTCTCAGCATCAAATTGTGTGATGGCAAAAAAAAAAAAGAAAATTTGATAGGGAAAAGGGTTCTTTAAGTACATTCCTACTGACAAAAAACACTAATTTCAGATAGGGTCTCACATGATAGATCTGCTCTCCAATATACCAGTAACATAGAAGTCTTAATCTAATGAGTTTAAAATTACAGCTTGCACTAAAAACACACACAACAAACAAAACAATTCTGAGAAGAGAAGAGGTATACACCAGTGGCAACTTATCAAGGAATCAAACAAACCAAAGTACAATTGCATGACTAGTGAAATTTGCGCATCAAAAAAAGATGGAAGTGAATAGGAAGACATTTGGTACAACCAGTTCAACATAAACTACAAAGCTTGAAAGAATGATCAGAAAGATTTGGAAAGCTTAATTACAATTATGAGGTTCCAGGAAGCCTTTAGGCATAATATAATGGTCCACATAAGGCTTGGTTGGTTCATCATAGCAAGAACAAGTGGTTTTGAAGCATTATAAGTCCATTTATATCACTTTTATAGATAGTGTAGTGCACTTTTTAGCAGTTCTGCAAGATAGTGGACCTTTCCCGCTTTCTCTAAAGCGTTATGGTCATGCCATGTCGTTACTTAACTACTTGAGCATTTTTCTAGTGGAGAATCTTCATCATAAACGGGGAAGGTCAAGGGAATATATGTCATCCGAAATAACACTATCAGAACACACCCACAATTCGTATTGCACTGGCTCTGCAAGCCACGTGCTAATACTCACTTTCGTGGATACTCAATATGGAAAAGCAATCCTTCAAAAGTTGGGAGTCCAACTTCATAATATTGTCTTCATTCAGACATTCAATAACTCAATCCCCATGCTCAACATACGGTATGTGATCTACAAAGCAAGAAATATGAGAAATGACATTTTATGTTGAGAATAGTCTACCGCAAATACAACAACAATCACAACAACAACCTCTAATGACCCAAGTGTCTGTGGATCTTTTCCCACCATTTAGCTCCCGGATATGACGACCTAGGCCTGTACAGAATGTGATTAAGATCCATGTGTATGAGATCTGCATAACTTTATATGGCTGTGCCTAATTCGAACCTCTGCTTTTTTAATCCAGGTTTCGGACCGGCATTGACGGTGTATTTCTTGAGAACAGTCCACAGCAATTAACGAGAAGTATTTGGCCAACAAAATTTGTATAACTTGATCTGGATAAAAGGAAGAATCGATGTGCTCACCATCAAGTTCATAAACTATCGGCATACTTCAAGAGTGTGCGCCATCGCCAGTACTAAGGGCTAATACGATGTCGCAGAAAGGTGGCTGGATGAAGCAACAGGAAGCATCCGCAAACGATGGGGAGAAGCCAACCCGCGACGCCAATCGCAAGCCAATACAAACAGGGAACCACATCGACCAGAAGAGAAACTAAACATCAAAGCAGGGACCATCGAAAGGGCGCAAGAGAAAAAGAGGAGAAGGACGTGCCGGAATCGGGATTGGCGCCGTAGAACTGGAGCGTGAAGCTGAAGCCGCCGTTCCAGGAGACCATGGGCGACCACCGGCTTCTTCTCGTCGCCGACCCTCTCAATCTCCAATCTCGAGGGAGGAGGAGGAGGAGGAGGGAGATGTCGCACTGGTTGGGGTTTCGTCTCCCCGAGAGGGTTTGCTCCCGACTCAGACAACCTAATCACTCTTACTATTTCCCCGTTCCGATCGGCTCCGTTTGGGCGGTGTCGTGTTATTTTATTTCCGTTGTTTGTTATGTCTGGAAAACAAAGAAAAAAATATTGATTTTTTTATTTGTTCGGCTCCAGTTTCGAGTTGTAAAGCTCCACAGTCTCTTTGGGAACTTGATGTAAGATTAGGATCATCACGCCGCATGATCTTTCGGATTGGAAACGAAGAAGAGGAAACAGCGATGGAGGATAAGACTTCAAACCCTCAAAATTTTCATATCCAACACATTTCGCATCTATCTATCTGTATATATATAAATGTAAACATGAAGTAAGAACTTGTTCGTTCTCATGAAACATAGCTGCTACTATATAGTCTCAAACCGTACCATTACAACAAGAGCTAAAAGTGTATAAATCATTTATCTAATTAAATATCTAAAATAACCTTTTGGGCTAAATTGAAGTCGGGCAAATTGACCATTAGAAGATTAAATCGTTGGTCTAAACTAGACACCGGTGGTGATGGTACCACTAGGCCTAAGAAGTAGTACCATCCGAGTTAGTCGATAAGTAATATTTATGCTTTGTCAACTTTTTTCAATGGTAATACACGATTGCATAGTATCATCAAAGATTCAAAAATTATGATGATAGTATTATCAGAGTTTGCCTCGTGTCAAAAGTTATAATGATAGTAACCGCTTAATGTTATCGATGATAGTATCACATATATATTAAAATTTTAGGAATTTAAATTTTTAATTTCATTCTTGAAGTTTTTTGAAACTTATAAATATTCCTACTCAGTTAAAGCATAATTTAAGTCTCATTCTCTTTGAGTCTAGATATGAGAGATATCTTGTAAAAGGATGATATGAATGTTATCTCATAAACCTAAAAAAAATAAGAAAGTTATAATAAGAATAATTTCGATCGTTGAAAAAAAAAATGATAGTGAAAATAAATGACCTCAAGAAATTGAGAAGGGATATAGGACTCAAATTAATTTTTTCTTTTACTTATCCCTTTACTTGTAACTCAGTTCTATTATCTTTACTTACAATTTTAACTTGATTAATTAAAATTTTAAAATATATTAATTTATTGATCGAAATTTTAAAATCGATTAAAATGTTATTACACTAATTTAAGCCCCTCTTAATGTTATTAAGATCCCAACACATATCTTAAAATAGTTAAATTTTTTTTATTTGTTTGTTTGTGTTTTTAGAGAGTAAAATTTATATTCAATGATCGAAGAGTATTTGAATGATTGTGTATACATTCTATTTCCGTCATGAGTTATCGAACACGTGGAGGCGACCCCAAGTGATGATGGGGCGAGTCAAACAACGATTCGTAAGTCAACCGGAGGGCAGCGTCCTCACCAGCTCCTCGTACCCTTCCGCGGAGTTCGCGGCTAAGTCGGCCAACGCTCCCACAGACACCGCCAGCCCCGCGCACACCACCTTCGGCCCCAGCTCCGCCGCCCGCCTAGGATCCTCAACCTCCTCCTCCTCCCGCTTATGCCCGGCCACCATCGACGCCACCCCCGCCACGAACATCTCCAGCCCCTCGATCGCCGCCGCCTCGCTCACCGAATCCATTAGCCGCGACCACCGCACGCAGGCGGTGTAGACCGGTGGAGCCGGTCCGCCGCCGGAGCGACTGGGGGTCGGGGCCGTGGCGTCAAGGGTCGGCGGGGCGCACCGGCGGATCCAACCGGCGAGGGCGCGGGCGTAGCACCGCTGGGCCTGGACCCAGGCCGCGAGGCGAGAGGTCCAGTTCCGGAGCTCCACCTCGAGCGCAGCGGCGACGCGAGAGGCCCTCGGCAGCGGTACGCCGACGGGTACGGCGGCGGTGGAGGGCGAGAACAGCAGGAGCTTGGCCTCGTCTACCGTGCGCTTTTGACACCGATGGCACTCTGCCATGGTCCTCCACATCCTTGCTAACCTGCGGGAGGAAGGGTGACTGAGGAGCTCGTATTGCTTGTTCTGCAGTAAGACTAATCTTAAAATGATTACTGCTTCAATTTCTTCATGTTATACAGATGCAGATTAACTCTTTCAAATAGAGAAATCATCAATTATAGAGGAGGAAAGAGTTAAAATGATGTTTGGAATAGATAACATAATCCTCAAAAAATTGAAGTGAATACAGAAGAATTCACAGACATTAATCCCCCCAATTTTGCTAAATCCATTTGCAACCTAAAATATTATTAACATCCCTTGGTATGATGGCAAAGACAACCCTTCCTTTATAACTCTTAATGTAGAAAATTAAACTTGTGATAGTCACTCTTGCCTCTGTCACAGATTTTTTGGATCAAGTGCTATCTACTAACACCTATCAGGAAGTATTATTCACACAAGGCTTTCACATTGAGAATATGTTTCTGAAATATATCCACTGCACAGATGAGTATTTTTCCTTTTTATTTCATCATTCTACACTCTGGTCACTTGATGTGATTGGTATGTCTAACTCCCCTGCATCACCATCCCTGGTGCTCAATCTCTCTCTAAAGTCAACCCATATATGCAAGTCCACTAGTTTGTCCTTGAAATCTTGGATGTTACATAGTATTTCTAGCATTGAGCATAAGCTTCTCTAATGTGTGGCTTCAGGATAATAAAACAAGCAATTGTAGAATAGGAAAAGGTCGCATACAATAGGGAAAGGCCATCCTAAAGCAGAGAAGTGCCTCAACAAGCAAGTATCCTGAAGTAGACCAAATCGTACTAGCTCAACTCCATCTCCCTTCTTAAGAAACATATCTTAGCATGTAAGATCATCTAAGAGTAGTAATAAGGTTTTTTGTTTAGCTTTCTCATGTTCATCATTACAAATGGTAACAAAATTTTATTTTCTTTTTTTCTTTTTTGGTATTTTGGTTCTAATTAAGCTAATTAGGCTTCATAATCTGCTTGTAGTAAAACCAAAATCAAGAAAAATAAAACACTCAACGTGCAAGTATTGAGACCAAATCACATAACAAGTGATGAACTACTCTGAAGCTAATGAACTCTAAAATAGCTCAACTCCATCTCCTACATGGTAAAAACCTCTTAGCAGATAGATTGTGAGTTTAGGTTTCTCATGATCATCATTACAAACGATAAAAGACGTGTATTTTCTTTTTCTTTTTGGAATTTTGATTGTAATTAAACTAAAGTGGAGTCTAAGTGTACCTCATATATTATGATTATTTTGCTCTAAATCATTAACATTTGAAGAGTAGATGAAAAAGTTGAAGATTAAGTATGCAGTTTTGTGACAGCTTGAACAACCTATAAATTGCTGTTCTTCTGAATGAAAGAGCACTCTAGAAAATAAATCTTCTGGGGCTGGTCTTTCGGTGATTATGTATCTACATTTGTTCTCTAGTTATTAGTATATGTTCTCAGTGCATTCAAATTCATTAGCACAAGCATTTTCATTCATATAGATACTAATCTAAGACATTGCCTTTACATGAGAGTGTGACTATCTAGAAATTTGAGCAAACACGATGTTCTCATTCACAATGAAATATGCTGTGTGCCTTTTATATTTAACAGTCAAACTATTACTTGAACAAGAAGGCTTAACAAGTAGCAAAAATACTGTAACTTACCCTTGGATCAACTCCATAACCTGCGGGTGCAATTCCTGGTCCCGTAATGCCTCAATTCTTTTCGATATGTACTCGACAGAACTTATGGAAACCCTGAGCCGAGTTTGGAGATCTCTTATAGCTACTCTAGTCTTATCGACAACAAAAGGCTCTTCCCCATTGATATCATGAATCCTCAGCTGCATGCATTTCTTTTCATAATCTATTCGTGCACGTTCCCCACACTGCCCAACAAACATATGGATGTGAGAAAGTAAACAAATTTGATTTCGTATTAGAAATTTGGTGTCTGCCTAATAATTGAAGTACCTTTATTTCCTCATATAGCTTCTTCTCCCATGCATATAATCTCTCTAATGTTGACTTGTGGCTTCGAGATACCGTACAAGATTCCTCTATGTCATTGTTGCTGCTTTCATAGGCATCGTTAGTACGACCAGATGAAACTTGAAGAAACCTAGATGATGATGAGCGTGATGATGATGCTGAACGAAGCAAAGCAGCTGGATTCAACATCCTAAAAGCTGTTTACCACAAAGCAAAAAATTTATCAGGGTCAACATATTGCATACTTGAGAAATTGCAGAATGGAATCTAGAGAGAGCAGACATGATGTTCTTACATTCTAGCGGGGAAGAAGAGGGCTGAACCCTGCTGGCTTCCAGAATTAAAGAGAGCTCATTAGCAAAATCACAAAGTATGACAAATTGGGCCTCAACATTCTCCATGACCTCTCCCATGCTCGTCGGTCTTCTGTTTACATATGCAGTGAAACCAGGAGTTTCATGTGTTCCATAATTTCCATTTCCATTCCCAACAATTTCCGGACCATTGTTAACCTCATGTTCTACTGCATTTCGAGTTTCTGATACTTCAGTACTCTGCCCACCTTGTGATCGGTACTCCTTTATTTCATTCACTTTGTCATTCTTCCTACTGACATCAGCTGTTTGTTCACTAGCAATTAGCTTTGCAGTTGGCTTTGGATGAATCCTGGAACCTTCTTCCTTCATCTGTACATTCTGAATTCCCTCATCATCATCATCATCTTCTTCTTCTTCTTCCAGGTCAGGTATCCCTTCTTCCTGTCTGACCTTCCTTAGCCTATCAGCATCTTCATCGAGCAGAACATCTTCAGAACTGTTTCCATAGGCATACAAATCGGTGTTCAAAGATGAGAAAGGGTTCCAGAAGATGTCCGATTGTGAAGCCTGAGGCGATGCTGGTGGATATTTTGGTCTTGCATATGATGAGGAGAAGAATGATGAGTCCGTGGTTGGAGCCTCTGCGGGAGTATAGCCTTCAACACCATAATGACCTGTAGGGTAATAGTATTCTGTTCTCACAGTTTCCGGTGTCTCAGGCCATTGCTCCACTGAAATCGATGGATTCCATCCTGCCTTCATGTAGTTTACTGCAAAAAACGAGGTGCTTCTCTCGGACTGCTTTTGCTGTGGTGGGAAGGATTGCTTAGGAACCATGACGATCTCCGGGCTTAATCTTCTAGCTGGCTGTGATGGAATACTTCTGCAAGCAGTCAAGAAGAAATGATGCTCATCATCCGCAGCATAATCGCGGAGAGCCTGGGAGACTCTCAACAGCGATTCTATGTATGCAATGTGGCCATAGCCAAACTGGTTCCTATGCTCGATAGCTTGCTTGATGAAGTTTTTCCTGTCACGGCAGAGACGGACGGCGTCTTCATCTTCCAGCTTCGAAGTAGAACATCCCATCTCTTCTAATCTTCCTAAGAGTTCTTCAGACTTGAATCGAAGCCAGACTCAATGTAGAAAAGAAGCCATTGATGCTTCACTACAGCTATACAATATAGAACCACGGTCTGATACATCTGAACAACGTCAAAACTTTAAGCCAACCAGTGTAAGAAAAGCATATTTACAAACAGGAACATCTTCCATGAAAGCCATCAGCTTTGCAGACTTCAGAAGGAAAACACAAAGAACCGATCAGATTCGGTGCTTCACCATCAAGTCATTCAAACAAAACTCACAAGGAGCTAATGTTTTCTACACTGACAATGCAGTGGATCCTTTCAGAACTCTACTTGAAAGAATTTTATGGGCCCTAGAAAGTTAGGAATTGGAGAGAGAGAGAGAGAGAGAGAGAGTTGATGGAGTAGGGGAGCAGATATTTAGCACGTACCTTAAAATGACTTGGGATCAAACAAAAGCACTGTTTTCTGCACAAATTTAGATATTAGAATCAGCAACCATTTACACTGTGCAATCCTATGAATGAAACATGAGGAAATTTCAAGATGATTATGAACGGTGCATAAACAAAATTGACATCTGTGTGAAACTAAAGAGTATATCTTGATTGCAAACGAAAGAAAAGAAGATAGTTGTGCTCAAGAGGATCCCGTCTATCCAACAAAGGTTCTGGTGATGTTAATTAAACTGAATCAGATGCTCTTCTTATCAAAGGGAAAACTAAAATACCTACTGTATCCATATCGAGAAGTACACTTTGTGCCATGCAGAAGAGAGATTGATAGAGAAATCAATGCGGAAAACAAAACTCTCACACTGGAGGAGTTTGGCTATGGTAAAGGATTCCGAAGAAGGAAATTAATTTTCATGCCAGTGAATTTTTCATGGAAATTTTCTGTAGGAAATCAAGAAACAAGTTCATAGAGTGTTCTCAACAAGCTCTGTTTAACAAAATGCACAAAACAAATTATTGAACTATGGCAAGAAGTATATCCCTAAACTCTGCGCTCTAACATCGGAAGAGAAGTATTCGAGTAGCCAAATCAAAAGACCAGTGAGCCTCCGAGTAAAATTCCAGTCCTGACAGTCTTATTCCCAGTTGCTTCAATTCTTGAAAAGCAAAAAGAACATGAAATAGAACCAAAAATTTGCTGCATCTGCATCACTCGATCTTCTTGATAATATTGGTGGCCATTACGACTTGGATTTCGTATATTATAAAAAAAAAATGTTGAGTCATTTATGTTGATACAGATAAAAAAAAAAAAGAAGCAAACCTGGAGATGGGTCCTCGAGGAGATGGGAGGTCAGTGGATTCGAGGAACTCCAACGCCAAGAGATGAAGCCTTTCATAGAAGAGGAACCTGCGGAATGAGGAGAAGAACCATGCTTGTTTCTGAGAACAGAATGAAGTAGCTTGACATGTAAAAGCTTCCAAAACATCAAACTTTTCATGATCTGATCCGACGGTGTGGAACCATCTACTTGTATTAAAAGCAACACAGTGTGCATCAAATCTGTGAAGCCGAACATTTCGGTGACAAGAAGGATCAGAAAACAGTTCAACGTTGCGAAAGCAGTGCCCATCCTAATCCAGTGCAACAACAAAAGGGAAAAAAAGGAGGACAACTGTTAAAATAGGATTTGATTATGATCTGAGAGATTACTGCCACTACTTTGAAGTTTTTATAAGATGCTTATCGTCTTTAAACTTTAGCTAAAGGGCAACATGCTAAGGGAATTTTGGAAAGTGAGATTTTGGTCATGCACATAAAGCAAAAGAGGGAAAAGATTCGGCACTTCTTCCTTGGTGCCTCCAAATGTCCGATTCCCTCGAAAATGCCCTCGGAACAAGCACGACTTGCGATTTGACCCGTCATCTTCCTTCCTCGTTAGTCAAAACGTCCACTCTTTTCTAAGTCAAGAGTGGGGATTAATCTATCTTACCATGAGAACAACGAGTCTATCCTGTTTATGCCTTTGGAGAGAACAAATTATGGAATTTTGTATATTGAAAAAAAATCGAACAAAAGAATGACTTCAAAAAATAGTAACGACGACATGTTACCTGTGTACATTCTCATGCTATCCGGTTTAACGTGATATCATCAAATCCCACAATGGTTTAGCCAGAACTCCAGATGACTCATAGGCTTAAGTGGGTGCGGTGGTGGAGCTGAAAAATGTATGCAGAGGATGTAGTAAGAAACGAGGTCACATATTTTACTACATAATTCTACAAATTGGAAATTATATGAAGGTAAACAAACACTATAAAAATAGTTTAGAGCAGAAGGAAAAGGTAAAATTTTGGCTAATTCAGAAGTAAATTGTGATGCTTAATAGATGACATCAAGTAGCCCCAACCAAATTATACTGCATAAAGGCCTGAATCAAAAGAACTTAGGGGGCAAATGGACTAACTAGTAAGCCCAAATAAGGCACAATCAGCTGATGGAACCATAGCATATCAGTATACATTTTGCTGCTTAAATTGAGCTATATATATATATATATATATATATATATATATATATATATATATATGCTTAATTTGTGTATTATTCTTTTATAGACATCTTAAGCTAAGATGTTGGTTTCCACATGAAGACTTGCTAGGTTGGGAAGCCAATGATCCATTACGTACTCAGCAGTGCAAGTAATCTTGATCTAAAAATCAATATAAATTGAGCAACTTAACTGAAACAAAGGAAGCAGCCCAGCCCAGCATCGCACTTCAACACGAACGATTGACCCGAACACCGGAAAGCCTAAGAATATATCCAATCAGATCCTTCGCACTTCCATGCTATGACTTCGATGACACACCCCTTTATTTTTTTTTTTATGGTGCAATAAAGAAACAATAACAGTGTAATAAAGAGAGTTTGGGGAGCACTTGGTAAGAGAACATAGTAATAAACTAATAACATATGCTGTCATGTAAAGGGTGTGACTACGTCAGTGATCCAGAGCAATTCAATCGACAAGACTCAATTACTGTGGACCTGAACCGATTTACGGATTTATCTGATGAAGTTAATTAACAGTGTTCAGAAACCAACAAGATTTCAACTGTTGCATGGAATGTCAGATGCACATATATCCATCTTCAGGTTTTGTGCAAAATAGAAGCATAAATCCGGACTTAGAATATAACTGACCATCAAAATCATCTAAACAAACAACAATGATTTAATCTAAGAGTGGCCCCTTTTTATACATGAAAAAACTATTTAATTTGCGTAAGAAAAGAAGATATACAACATAGGGACATTGCTGTACCAGTGGCCCTCGTCACATTTTACAGTAAGGGGTTTGCTTGAAAAGTGATTGGATTATAAACAAGGATAAGATTGGTGGAGGTTAAAGAGACGCATCTCAGAGACTGAGATTTTTGGTCCCAGCCTTTATTTCATGGAATCTGATTCCCCGAGTTAAAAAAAAACAGAGAGGGGGGGGGGGCGGTGGTGGTGAGGTGGGTCCAACTATTTCATACTGAATGAACCTGAAAAGCCTGCGAGGAAGAATTGTGTCCCACAAGATCAAACAAAAAAGATCTGTCCAGACTTAGTGGACATAAAGCATGTATTTCGAGGACCCTCTTAAATGTCAAAAAGATGTTCGGAACACATGAGCTAGAAACCAAAAGACCCCCCCACTCGTTCCAAGTTGACCAGTGGATTACATCCCTTGATCACAAGCTGACAGGAAAAACGTTCATCCAAAAGGAAGACTAGCTTTAGATGAGTGATGACAGACGCCTAACTTATACATTGATTTAGAATTCTACAAGATATCTTCGGTCAGAAACTTAACCAGGGAAGAACCCAAAGATTAACAGGAAACAGTAGTAGAATTTGACGTTCTGAGCATGAACTGAAACACGAGCAATGATGACTAATGATCTAAGATCATAATTACCTTCGGACTTGTTGTCGAGAATATAGTATAATTGACCTGAAATAATAAGCAACATAGTCTTCTATAATCACTGAATGAGTGAAATTTTGGATTACTGGAGAATAAAAGAGTAGAAACTCGCTTATGCTAAATGGTGATAGTGAGCAACTAACTTTGAGTGGTCAAGTTTTGGCATCGGTGCGTGTGACATGCTTGAACTATGGGAATCCATCCGAAATTTGACAGCTAAAACCAATACAAGCATAACACCTGGAGAGAAGAAAAATGAAGAGGGGCGTATCAGGCAGCTTAGATCAGTAGGAAAAAGAAAGCTGAAGAAAAGGTAATCAAGCTTTTGAAATCATACAAAAGGATCTTGTGGCTCATCCATAAAGCCATGAGCCCTCTCCACATCTCACTTTGGCCTCCATTGATGATTCTATTCCCATGACAGCCTACCATATACTGTGGATAGGGAAGTGCCCCACACAAGTGGAAGACCCACCCACCTCTCCCATCTCCACAGCCTTCTTTCGAGACCTAAAATCCCTTTAATAATAAAAATGGACCACTTCCGTTTTGAGACCTTAGCACAAGACCAAAATTGGAGATTTTCCAATTGACAGCGCATATCACATCTACTTCCTCCGAGGGATATATTAGATTTGCATATCATTCCATTGTCTGTTCATAGCCAACCAGAAGAATAGAGCACATTCCATTAATTACAATATAATATTCTAGACGTGCCTATATAAACCAACTCTTTCATCTGTCTGGAACAAGTAGCAGGAAAAGTAGCAACATGGCGTGAGGAGGAAAGGGTTGCATACCTGCTCAAGAGACTAAGGGAACGAAGATGCTTGTTGAGAGCTTTACATGAAGAGGCGGAGAGTGGAATGCAGCCAAGGATGACTTGCCGGAATTGCCTCGAGATAGCGCCTCGTTTGCAAGTTGCCGGCAAGTTTGTCCTTGGCTACATTTGGCTCTCTTCTTCTCATGTGAGGCTCTTGCATGGTTCAGGCCGCGCACCCATGCTGGAGCTCAGGAACTAGCATTATCTGCTTGCCGCTGGTAAATTACCTGAAAACTTTAAGAGTTTTAAACTGTATGGAAGCAAGACACTGTGTCGAATAGTCATGACTTTACATGAAAAGACTGGCAAGACAATATAAGAACAAATAGTAATCAAGATCATGTGAGTAAAAGGTTGAACCATAGAGAATGCTTGTTCAGAGTCCTTATAATATATGCAGCATTAAGGCTAACTTGGCAGAACTAGGAGGTGAACGAATCAAGGGCCACAAGACTAGTCGACTCAACCAGAGAAAGTAGCACTAAATTTGCAGTGAGAGATTTTGCTCTGAGAAGACAAATGCAAAATCAGAATCAGAGAAAAAAGAGAGCAGAGGTAATCTTAAATGTGGTTCATTCATCAAGTACCTCTGAAGTATTTGGTGTCTTGCCGTATAAGTTCCATTATATTGGGCATTTTACATCTTCGGTTACTTCATGATTTCTTGCGGTTCATTATTGTCTGTCCACTAGTTCAGAAATTTATGCCCTTTATTGTACCTAGAAATTCTGGGGCTTATGAAGAGATCTGGTATTGTGTATGTTTAATTGATTATAGGTTTCTGTTCGAACTGATGCTGTCCCAGAGGTTCCAAAGGTGTAAGAGTATCTCAATTCTATTCTACATCTGATTTTTATTCACTAATCTTTGAGTGGCACTAGTCCCATGCATATTATGCTCTACATGGACCAGTGATTTAAAAAGCGCTAGGCGCCAAGGTCCAAAAACGCCCGAGGCGCTAGGCGCTCGCCCAGGCGCTCGCCCGAGCGAAGCGAGGCGCTAAAATATAAAAATATAAAATATAATTAATAAATATAATTATTTAAAATTTTAAATAAAAATATAAAAAATATAAAATATAATTAATAAATATAATT